TGTGACTTGGTCACTCTGTTTGGGTCAGCAAATGAATCTGGCAAATTATTAGCTAGCTCTTGTAAATGTACAATCTTTTGGACCTCAAGATCACAATCTTTTGTCCGAGGATCTTGCCAGGATATAGATGGTCTCGACCACTCTATTTCTTTTATCAACCGGCTGCTATCTCCCCCTAAGGACGGATATGTTGACTCATAAAAATGGGAGTCTGCGTATCTGGCCTTAAACAAATCACCGGTTGTTGGCTCAAGATACTTAATGATGGTCGGAGACTCATATCCTACATATATTCCCATCCTTCTCTGTGGTCCCATCTTAGTTCTCTGTGGTGGAGCAATAGTCACATAAACGGCACATCCAAATGTTTTTATATGGGACAAGTCTGGCTCCTGACCCGTGATCAACTGGGATGGGGAATATTTGTGCTCACTAGATGGCCTGATGCGGATCAACTCAGCTGCATGTAATATGGCATGTCCCCAAGCTGATACCGGGAGATTCGACCGCATGAGTAATGGTCGGGCTATCAGCTGTATACGTTTAATGAAAGACTCGGCCAAGCCGTTCTGTGTATGTACATGTGCCACGGAATGTCCCACACTTATTCCCATGGACATACAGTAGTCATTAAACGCCTGGGATGTAAATTCACCAGCATTATCTAGACGTATAGTCTTCAAAGGAAAATCTGGAAAATGTGCTCTCAATCTAATGATCTGAGCTAGCAACTTTGCAAAGGCCATATTCCTTGTGGATAATAAGCATACATGCGACCATCTGGTCGATGCATCTATCAAAACCATGAAGTATCTAAACGTCCCATTAGGTGGGTGTATGGTCCACATATATCTCCCTGAATCCTTTCCAGAAAACTTAAATTTTCCTTAGTAACCTTAACTGGTGATGGCCTGGTTAAGAGTTTCCCTTGTGAACATGCATCACACGTGAGAGTCTTAGGGACAACTCCTTTGAACTTGTGCCCTTTAGAGTTCAAAATCAGTTTCCGCATCATGTTAGTACTCGGGTGGCCGAGCCGGTCGTGCCACCGTTTAAAGGCCTCGCAGGCATTAACCTCGACCATACTGACCTTTGCAAGATAAAGGCCAGTAGCTATTGCAGGTATTGTCTCTACCACTTTCTTAATGCCTTTGGTGATCAAAACAATATTAAGGAAATCTTTCATTCCTTCTTCCCATGTTTCAAGGTGTAAACCATTCAACCTTATGTCCTTGAAACTCAATAGATTCCGTTTGGAACTTGGTGAATACAAGGCATCTTTAATCTCAAGCTGAGTGCCTCTAGGCAATAAGATATAGGCCTGGCCGTGGCCCTCTAAAAGATTAGCCACGCCTGCAATAGTGTGTATATTGGCACTTTGCATTGTAAGGTTCACAAAATACCGTTTGTCTTTAAGTATAGTATGGCTAGAACCACTATCAACCACAAGTGTACTCATCACTT